TTTTACTGTTGCTTCTAAATACCTATTAATAGAATAATGTCTTGGTGTTCATTATTTATTGAATGAATACTTTAACATTTACATTGACCCTAACTGCTACCTGGGTCACCTGGTTTTAGCCCATTGCTGATTTGGGGTTGCATTCCTCAGAAACACTCTTCCACTTCTTCTCTAGTTTGGGAACCCAAACTAGCTTCCCTCTGTGTCTCCCCTTCAGCTTGATAGATGAGTCCTCTATCTACTTATTGACCTGAGAGCCACTTGTGGGACCTTACTTACTGTCTTCACTTATAGAATTATCAGGGTTTGGCCACACTTTTTCCCACTTTACTTGGAAGAGGAAATGTACCTAGTTTTCTCCAAAGCTAATACCTTCCCTTTATTATTAATAGAAGTATTATAGATTATGCTGGCCTCTTTATCTTCTGCCTTTCCTTCTGGAACCTGTCATCTATCTCCCTTATACAGTAGTCACTCCCTTTGCAACAAATACACAGCTGGTCTACAAAATTGGAATAGGAACCCAGTTCTGTCTTGGAACTTAAAAGGTTGTCTTTTGTCTTTACTTCTTTCTAGTTAAAGATCTCTCAAAAGGGTTCCTTTCTATTTACGACCATTCCTATTTCCTTGCCACTACCAACTGCTTAACCCTTTTTGAGTTTGGGACTGGGCTTATAAATCCCTGGACTGTTATAAATATTTTTTTCCTGCATTCATAGGCCTTTTCCATAGTCCTCATTTCTTTAGTTATTAATCTAACAAAGACTGCAATAAAGGTACAAAAAGCTCTGCCCCTTTGAATTTTATGTTCTAAAAGAAGAAACAGATATTAAATGTTATAAGTGTGTAGGTTTGTGGTTTGTGTGGGGTGTGTGTGTGTGTTTACTAGTAAGTACAAGGAGAATGATAAAACAGAGAAGGAGAATAGACAGTTTTAGAGTGGAGGGGTTTGCTACTTTAGATAGTGATGAGGGAACTTTCAATGAGGAGATGGTTTTTAAGTAAAGGTATGGAGGAGGTGGGGGGAGTAAGTCATCTAGCTATCTGGGGGAAGAACATTCTAAGCAGAGAGAAGAGTAAATGCAAAATTTCCGAGGTAGGAGTGTGCCTGATGTTTTTGAAGACCAGTGAGGTGGATAAGCCTCATCTTTCTGGAGCTTACAATGGCACTTGACATTCTTTAATCCCGTCTGTCTTGGAAGTGTTCTTTTTTCTTTGCCTTTGAGACCAGTATTCCGGAGGGAATAACCTGGTCTGATTTTTGCCTTGTCTGTCTCTTTCACTGATTTCTTCTGTCCTTTCTGCTAGCTTTTAAATTTTTTTACCCTAGGGATCTTTCATTGGTACTTTGTTCCCCTACACCCACCGTGTGTTGCCAAATTACATTCTTCAACTGTGCTTCTGACTGTTTACCAGACATCTCAACTTATGTGTCACCAATGGACCAAAATTTCAACATGTTTGACATCTAAATAGTTTGTTGCACTTCCTTCCCCTCTTCCCAAAAGCCCTAATTTTCACTTTTCTGTGTTTCTCATATCCATTTTTGGCTTAGCTACTCAAATTTTGGCCCACTTTAGAGAACCCAATCGTTTATGACTGTTATTCCTCACCCTCCACTCCTCATTGGTCATTTTGTCAACCTCTTTCTCTGGCCTCTGTGCTCTAATGCTCTGCAGCCACACCCATGCCATAGTAAGCATACTTCAAAATTCCTTTTCTTTGTGCAACCATACCTTGTGTCTAGATGATCTTCTCATCCTTCAGGAGCAAGCTCAAATGTCACCTTCTCTATGTAGCGGTTTCTTGCCGTCCCTAGTCAAGTTAATTGTGTCTTCCATTGTGTACATACCTCTTCTGAGCCCCACACTGTGATATAATGATGAGTATCATGTGGAACTATAAGCTCCTTGAAGGCTACAGCTAAATCTTATTAGTGTACATAATGCATTCCTATAGTTTCCTGTATTTGGCACATAGCAAAGAGAGAAGATAGATGAATGTAGTCTAAGGGTACTGCATTACAACATATTGAACATGAAGGAAAAAAATCAAAATTCATATAATGTGTATGCCTTCATCAGTAGCATTCGTATATGCAGAATATCAGCATCTTTGAGGGCAATTGGGATTAATATTTTGTTAGTGTTTGCTTGAATCCTGAGTGCTTTCATTCTGTTCACTCATTGGAATGATGGCAGACAGTCTTGTTGGCAAGCAAACATAGGCCCCGCCTAATGAGGGCCTGTAGCAGGCTGAACTTGCTGTTGTCTAGGCTGCAGTCAAAGAACAGCTGCTTTAGATTAAACATAAAAATTTAATTATGTAAATACATAATTTATTGTAGGTGTTTATTTTGAATAGTGGTGTTCTTTTCTACCAGTCTTTGTTTCTAAATTCAGAAATGTTTTTTCTTTGTTGAAGGTATTTTAATTACTGGTATAAGTTTCTCATAAGATTATAGGAACTGAGACATTTAAGGAAACTCAAAAGTGTTCTTTAGTATATTTATGATATAAGGAATCTGGAATAGCAAAGAAGTTGACAATTGAGGGGAAGGAGAAACAAGTGTTTTTTGTTTGTTTGTTTGTTTGTTTTTTAGTTGTATAACTTTGGGAGGCCAAGGTAGAAGGATCATGTCAGGCCAAGAGTTCAAGACCAGCCTGGGCAACACAGTGATACCCCATCTCTACAAAAAACTTAAAAAGTTAGCTGGGCACGGTAGGGTACACACCTGTAGTCCCAGCTACTTGAAAGGCTGAAGCAGGACGATGGCTTAAGCCCAGAAGTTAGAGGCTGCAGGGAGCTATGATCAGGACCAGCCTGGAAAACAGAATAGGACACATCTCTTAAAAAAAATTGTATAGAACTTTAAAAGATTAAATGTAAATAAAGGCTTTTATTAGTTTAGCAAAATGTATCTTCCTCATTTGAAAAGCAGTCTGTTATGCTTTAAAAAGACTAGTAAAGTAAAAACAATTGAGTCAGTGAGATAAATACTATTTTTGATAAAAATTATTTGTCTTGAAATGTGAATGATGTAAGAAGCTATAGTCTCCTTGGTCCCTTGATTTTCCTTCTTTTAGACCATTACCCCAATTTTATCATGCTCTTTTGTGAAAATCTGAAGCATTTTAAGGACATTTATGAATCTTTAATGAGCAGCCCATAGTTCACTTTCTTCACATGGCTATGTAAGATGAGCAGTCATTCATTTTAGTTATAGAAGAGAATTAATCACTGTTCATTTCATGTTATAGTGTTAGTTTGTTTTGACCTAAGGAGAAATACTGTGGCTAGAAATTATAACAAATTAAATTGGGTAAAAAACTAGTAAGTATGTCTTTCATATAAATGAGCATTTTCAAACTGTCCACTAGCATATCTTCAACTGCCAAACTGAGAGGCCATTTATGATGTTTACTTGAGGAGAAGGCACAGGTAACTTACAGTGCTGGCTCTCAGAGTGTGTAGAAGCTTGGACAGGTGAGGTGGAGACAGGTGGAATCAAGTTGCAGCTGAAAGCCATGAAAGGCGAGACTTATAGTGACTCTAGAAGGCTGGTGATATTCTAAATACAGAGGCTCACACCTTATATTAAGTTCCAATATGTAGAAAAATGCTGTGTGCTTACTGAAAAATGCTCTTTGACACCTAAGGTGGGAACAAACTTAAGAATATTATTGGATCGAAATCAGTTTGCTGGGGTTAATAGGTTCTAAACGTTTTATCAGCCTTTCATATGCTAAATTTTCTTAGTGGTTAGTGAAATGTTCCTTTAAACTATTTTGAACTTAGATTAAAACATGGAATGAGGTGAAAAAGTGGTATAATTATGATGCTCTTGTATTCTGGAAGATCAGCTTCTTACAAAACTTTGTCATGTGAATCTAAAGTGCCCTAAGGTGGTTTTGCCTTTGTGTTCTGATCATTTCTGACTCACACTTGAGCTTTCATTTTATAAGGGCTAGTGAGCATAACCGATGACAGATACTGTCAGACGTGCATTCCTTTTACAAGTATGCAAGCAAGCATGTTTGGAAGGCAGGGTGAGTTGGCACATTGGCCTAAAACCTTTTGGAATCTTGGGAAGAGTGTCAGGTGGAATACCAGCATGTACTTTAATATAGCAGCTCAAGTTTTCCTCACACAGAGTATGACTGAATGTGAGTTTGCTTTACCAGTGAGTTAAATATAAGCAGGTAAAAAATGCACCTCTGGAAGTGTTTAATCTCTGTAAGAATGCTTGGTTCAGTCCAGTTTACATTAATATATGTATCAGGACTTCATGTTTTACCATGGAAGGGGTCACAGTGGGTTATCTCTGAATTGAAGCACCATGTTACTATCTTTCCTCATCCTTATAAGGAACAGTTTTACATAGTGTGACAGCTTCATGGGTTAACTCGGTACTCAAATAATGAGATTTATTTAGGTGTCACTGTCTAAAGTACAAAGTGTTTGAAATATTCTCCATTAGCTCTGAAATTATAAAGGCTAAATTTAAATACACATGAGGTTTTCCATCATCTGTACTTTTACTTGGTGCTGTCACTTTACTTTTACTTCCCTTTTACTTATCTCTCTATACCTACCTCTCACTCTTCTTTTTGTACTCCAACTTCCAATCATATTAACTCCCTTAGAAGCTGACATGTCATCTCACACACACGGAGAGGCACAAACATCATGTAGTCACTTTTTCTGTCCCTAGTTACCACCTCTATTCTCACCTCTACCAAATCTGTACTAGTTAGTCCAGTTCTGGGTTGCCATGTGTGGTGTGCATCTCCCCTCACAAGGTTTACTCTATGGGTTTGCTGAGGCCATGCTGACTGTGTTCTTTAGTAGATCGTTAACTGCTCAAAGGAGCACAAGCCATCAGCCTTATTCACAAATGTATCTAGTATCTAGCACAGAGTCCATTGTAATAGCTTATCAGTCAATCTATTTTAGTTTTTAAATGATGATGCTTATTGTTCTCAATTTTGTTTTCAAAGATTCCCCAAAGTGAGGACAAAAAGAACCATGCCGAGAAGCCAATCACTCTTCCAACACAGGGAGATCTCAAAAAGCCAAATGATCTTTCCGGTTCTACTTCAGAAACCAAAATTGGAGAAAGTGACAGACAGCCAAAAGAAAGCTTTTTTCACTTTCTTGGTAACCTGTTCAATATCTCAGGAAAATCATCTCTGGGTGAAGCTAAACATTCTTCTTTGAAAGATGACCATGATAAAACTGAGAAAGATTTACAGAATCCCAGTGACCATCATGAGGAATCCGTCAAAAGAGAGAGGGAGCTGATCCCAGGCTCCCTGGGGACACAAGCACTTCCAACAGAAGAGCAAGAGTCCACCCCAGCTGAACTCTCAGATGCCTTTTCTTTGGATACAACACAAGACAGTGAACAGGAAACCAGTGATGAGCTAAAGTAAGTTTGAAACTTTATTGAGCCAAAAATTGAGCTAATGAGCCTCAGTTCTAAGGCCTATTACTTGAGGGGATTGGAAAAAGGATTCTGTAATGTCTGTGCTACTAGGTAAAAAGTTACTGTTCTGTGTACCATATAGGTAATCTTGGGCCATTTGAGCTATTTTAGGGGTGGCACTAACACCTTTTAGGTGCTAAATTTATCTTAGTACAAGATTTATTTCTTCCTTGAATGGGAGTGTTTTCTGTTGTATATATTCCTTTTATATTAGGGCAGGCCATGTATTCAGTATGTGCATTTTGGGATCCAAAATGGTGGTAAGGTATGTATTCCCATTCTAGAAATATCTTTTCTTTGTGGAATCCTATTAAAATGGGTTAAGAAAGCAATTAAATTGACTGTATTCATGAAGGTAGTTTCATGAACTTTTTTACACAGCCATGAGAAACTAAAATCTGGCACAAATTTAAAGAGCATTTTACTACCTTTTTTCTTTCTTTGTTTAACAAACAGGTGCCAACTTGTTTTTCCTTTTATTCAAATGAGCTAGAAGGAATATTTTCTATCCAAGAAATGTTTATAAGTGTTGAGTCCATTAGACGTCTTGTGTAACATAAAAGTATTCATTTGTAACTAACAAGGTTCTATTGTGTTGATTTTAATTTTACCTCTACCTGAGAATTTATTATTTGAAGGGGTCATCAATAATACTGTAGTCAGATATAAATAATAAATTACAGTTACATAGTTCTTTGTAGTTTCAAAGTGTCTGCATGTGGATGTTTTCAGTTAATTCCTCTTAGCAAGCTTGCAAGGTAGGCACAGACCCATCTTACACCTGTGAGAACTGAGACCCAAATATATTAGTTTGCCCATCAAAAGTGATGTGGCGGGGCTTGCTCTGCCACATGTTAAAAGCTCTGTTATTTGAAACAATGTCATACTGATGTCACATTTACTAGACATTTAAATGGAACAGGGTAGACAGCCTAGAAACAGACCTTCATCTTTGTGATTTGAACCCTTGAATGTGACGGCATCACATATCTGGCAGAGAGAGAGACTTATTGGAGGAAATTGGTTTGTAGAAAAAAAAAAGTAGATACTTCTCCCATTTTTATATGAAAATAATATAGAACAACAAATGTTAAGAAAACAAAAAATTAGAAATCATAAATGTGAATTATTTATTTTGATAAGAAATGACTTAACCATGCGTAACAGCAATGGAAGGTATCAGGAAAGAACCTGGTGGATTAGATTGCTGCCAGTTTTCAAAATCCTTTATGCCAAATAACATAAACCATGATAAATTTAAATGGCAAATAAAAAAATTATATGCAAAATTTATGACAGGAATGCTTTAACTGATAGGCAATATAGACACTACCTTACCAATAGAAAAAGGCAAACAGTATAAACAAATCCAATAAAAGCAATATAAATTGCTAATAAATGAGTGAAAATTTTTCACTTAGAAGGAAATGTAAACTAAAATAAGATAACACTTTACTACAAGAAAAATGATAACAATAAATGATAATACCCTTAGTGAGTCAGAATTGATAAGGCTGCTGGCATTCATATACACTGCTAGGAGTGGAGTGTCATTGGATAACTTGTTTTAGGCAATATATATCAATTGGCAATATATATCAGGAGCTTTAAAAAGTTTATAGGGTATTTCTGATGATGTACAAAGGTGTTTGTTGAAACATTACTTATAGGAACAGATATTTGGAAACAAATGTTCAGCAGAAAAGTGGCTAAATTGTGCATCCATAATAAAAGATTCTGAAAGGCAGCGCTGTTCGAAGTGTGGTCTTTGCAGCAGCAGCAGCACCTGGGAGCTCATTAGAAATGCAGATTATCTGATTCTGATCCACTAAATCAGAATCTCTGGGAGTGGGGCCCAGTAATCTTCTAACAACCTCTCCTGGTGACTTTTTTGCTTGCTTGTATTTGAGATCCAACATTTTAAAGTAATTTTAAATCATGGGGATTTTGAGGCTGTTATGCAGGAGCTGGATAGAATGGAAAGTTGGTGCTTTTTCTCCTTTGGTTTTGGTTAGTTTGGTCAGGTTTATTTCTTTGGTACTGGACAATAAAAAGAATGAGAAGGTACTGTCCCCTTTATTTCCTGTTACTAAGGCCTCCTTATTAATAGAATTAATAGAATAATTGCTTGAGGCAATTCTCCAGAACCACCTCAGCAAAGAATGGTGATTCTTGATTTAGAGGAAAAGGGAAAGACCACTAGACTCCCAGTTTGAGATACAGGTTTCTTCCAGGCCTAACGTTGGAAATCCCACAGTTTATTAGGCTTAGTATTATAGTTTCAGTAACTTCCTGTTGACAATTGTCAATTTGTTTAAGAGTTATAATTCAGAAGTTGAATACCATTTTGGTAATAGTTTATTTTGATAGTATAATTAAAGACTGCTCATAATAGATTCTAGATGTTACTTAAATAATTTAGATAATTATTTTACTAATAATTTTGAAAATCTACATTTTAAGTGTTTTTTAATGCATATTATTTTTTATTTATTTATTTATTTTAGCATATTAATGGGGGTACAAGTGTTAAGGTTACTTATATTGCCCATGCCCCTCTCCCCCCTCAAGTAAGAGCTTCAAGCATGTCCATCCCCCAAACGTTGCACATCTTCCTCATTGTGGTTGTATATACCCATCCCCACCTCCCCCTTCTACCCTCCTGAACCCGATAAATGTTACTCCTATATGTCCACTTAGGTGTTGATCCGTTAATACCAATTTGCTGGTGAGTATATGTGGTGCTGGTTTTTCCATTCTTGAGATACACACTTAGTAGAATGGGTTCTAGCTGTATCCAGGAATATACAAGAGGTGCTATATCACTATTGTTTCTTAAAGCTGAGTAGTATCCATGGTATACATATACACATTTTATTAATCCACTCATGAATTGATGGGCACTTGGTTGTTTCCACAACTTTATTCAATTATGAATTGTGCTCGCTATAAACATTCAAGTGCAGGTGTCTTTTTCATAAAGTGACTTTTGATTTTGGGTAGATGCCAGTATTGGTTATTGCTGGATCAAATGGTAGTCTATTTGTATCGCTTTGATATCTCCATATTGCTTTCCACAGAGGTTGAACTAGTTTGTAGTCCCACCAGCAGTGTAGGAGTGTTCCTCTCTCTCCACATCCACACCAGCATTTGTTGTTTGGGGACTTTTTGATAAAGGCCATTCTCACTGGAGTTAAGTGTTATCTCATTGTGGTTTTGATTTGCATTTCCCTAATGATTAGAGATGTTGAACATTTTTCATATGTTGTTGGCATTATTCTGTCTTCTTTTGAGAAGTTTTTTTCATGTCTTTGCCCATTTTTTTGATAGGGTTGTTTGATTTTTCTCTTGCTGATTTTCTGAGTTCCAAATAGATTCTAGTTATCAGCCCTTTATCAGATGTGTAGCTTGCAAAAATTTTCTCCCATTCTGTGGGTTGTCTGTTTGCTCTCTTGACAGTTTGGTTCTGTAGGTAGAGGATGGTTAATGGATACAAAATTACAACAAAATAGGAATAAATTTTAGTGTTATATAGCACTGTAGGATGACTATAGTTAGCAATAATTTATTGTATATTTTCAAACAAAAGAGACGATTTTGAATGTTCTTAACACAAATGATAAATGGTTTTCATGATGGATATGCTAATTACACTGATCATTACACATTGTATATATGTATCAAAATATCACTTTGTGTATAACACAAATTGGTACAATTATTACATGTCAACTAAAATAAATTTTAAAAAATGAAGATTCTATACTTTTGAAAATGCTAGGAGTTTCTAGTTTCACTTACAAAAATTTCAATTTTATTTTTGTATAGGGAGGAATGGCTTAACTGCAGGTTTTACATTGCCTTTCTCATGCATGAATATTCTTTCTTTTTATAGATGTTGATAATCAGGGTGTATTAAAAAGAGTTAATGTCTTAATTTAGACAATTTAATAACATAACCTGTGCTGTATAACACTGCCCATTACTATACTACTAAACATACTTTTATGATTCCCATTACAACAGTTTTCAAAATTTAGACTAGTTATTACAGGTTAAATATCCTTTCTCTGAAATTCTTGGGACCAAAAGTGTTTTGGATTTTTTTCTGATCTTGGAATATTTGCATTTACGTAATGAGATATTTTGGGATGGGACCCAAGTCTAAAAATGACATTTATTTATGTTTCATATACACCTTACATACATGGCTCAAAGGTAATTTTATACAACATTTTTAATAATTTTGTTCATGAAACAAAGTTTGTGTACATTGAACCATCAGAAAGCAAAGGTGTCAGGTGTTAATTTTCCACTTGTAGCGTCTTGTTGGCACTGAATAAGTTGGATTTTGGAGCATTTTGGATTTTCAGATTACTCAACCTGTACCTATTATGTGAAGTAAATTGAAGAAAATCCTCATCAAAAGACATTGTAAAATGACTTCATCATCACTTAGTTAAAAATAATAAACAGCTTTGTAATTGTGTTTATATATATTTGTCTATGCAAATTTCATTTTCAATATAAAAGTATTAGGAAAACCTGTTTGGTAATAGGTAACATTTGTTAGATTGTTTTCTGTACATTCACTCATGTTTCTGGTATAATTTATATAGAAAGCTTCCTTATTGTTGGGTTAAACTTTTTTTAAAAAATGTTCCCTTATAATTCTTATATTAATATTTTTCACAGGTTCATATTCATCATATTCTCATATTCTCATATTCTAATCATCATATTTTCATATTCATCATGAGAAGCTCTGTCAAAGCTCTTGTGTGATTTTTTTTTAATTTGCTTGTTTTGCAGCTTTTCTTTCCATAGAAAAGTTAAAATCCTTCTGCATTGTGAGAGCAGATAGCTTAACTATTTAATTTGAAAGAAAATAAATTTTACTGCTTAAAAAGAGGCTCATTCATATTTCCCTAAAATTAGGCACTTTTGCTATAAGGATATTTTTTATCTTCAGGCTGCTATTACAGAATTTTCTTTGAAGAATGATGAATCTTTAGTTGACTTTTGTAGTATCAAGTGTATCAAGTTTATCCAAAATAGAGTATACCCATATGTACTACATAGAGGCTTAATTATCCTTCACATGATGAGTATGTCTTGGGCTGAAATCCATAAAACCTTTTCAAACTTTTAGTAGATATGCCCATTTTCTTAAATATTTAAAATTTCAAGACATTTTACTTTTTTCTTACTATTATTTGGATTACATACCTTTGTTATACAAGATAAGTTATCAATCCCTTGCACAATTACATATAATACGTAAAATTAATACTCCTTTTTCTCTGTTCAGCTTGTAAAAATACACTTTTCAATTTTCCATTTTCAGCTCATTTTTAAAGTTATATGTTTTTGGCATTTCTGTTTTATTGACTAGGGAAAAATAAAAAATGTAAGGACAATTTTATGTTCTTAATATTATTCAATTATGCTTAACTGCAACCCAAGAAAGCATGATGTATAAAATAGACAATGTTAGAATGACTAACCTTATAAAAAGTAGGAGTGTACCTCTTCAGTACCTGAAAGGACTAATTATAATACATGAAACTCAGCATGCAACTTTGATGTTTTGTGCTTTATACATGGTAATGATAATATAGTTGTTTAATATAAAGAATGCATATTTTAGCTACAAGTATATATTAGGTAATAAATATGAAATGTCCAATTTTGAATCAGTAGTTTGTTATATCTCAAGAAGTTAATCTACTGTTGACACAGTTTTGCCATCTTAATGGTAGCTTGTTTATGCCAGCAGCAAAGAAGCCTGAATGGTGAATGGCCATGAAATCACAAAAGACATTTTCCACATCTTGTTGGGAATTGAATATTTTTCTTTGTAAGAAGTGATCCAATGCCTGGTGATTACAGTGAATGACAGAGAGTTTCCAAGTCCAGCTGCTGTAGTTTGAGCAGTGTTATTTCTGCCACATGTGGTTGAGCATTGTCTTGCAAGAGGATTGGCCTATTTCTGTTGACCCATCTTGGCTGCTTCATCACAAGCATCCTCATCATTTTGTCCAATTGGTTGCAGTAGACATCCACTGGAATCTGATAGACCAGGTTTCATGAAGCTGTAGTAGATAATACCAGAGCTGGACCACCAAACAGACACCATTACCTTTTTTTTTTTTTTTTGGTGAATATTAGGTTTTGAACTGTGTTTCAGCATCTTCATCTGTATCTAACCATTGCCAAATTGTTTCGATTGTCAAAAAGAATCTATTTTTCACCACACATAGCAATGTGGTATAGAAATGATTCACTTTTATGTTGTGACAGCAAAGAAAGGCCAGCTTCCAGAAGATGTCTCTTCTGATGCTCATTTAATTCATGTGGTACTCATTTATCTAGCTTCTTTACCTTGCCCAATTTGTTTCAAATGGCCCTATATTGTGGAGATAGTAATGTCAACCCTTTCTGCTAATTCACACGTAGGTTGAGATGGATTTGCTTCCACTACAGCTTTCAGCTCATCAGTATCCACCTTGGTCTGAGGTCACCCATGTGGCTCATTTTTAGATTAAAATCACCAGAACGGCACTTCTCAAACCATCAACATACTGTGCATTCATTAGCCACATTCTTCCTAAACACTTCATTGATGTTTCAAGCTGTCTGAGCAGCGTTTGTTCCACAACAGAACTCATATTTGAAAATAAAATGAATTTTTGACTTATGCATGGTTTAACAAAAATTGCTGTAAAAAATTTTGAAAGATAATCCCAAGCCAAACCATGCATTTGAAAAAATGAGGATATCCCTTCAGAATAAAAATTAAAAATTTTCAAAGTGAAATTTCAGAGATATCAAATATCAAACTTAGTACTTAAGGAAATTAGACATTTCATACTTAATAATCTAATATTTCCACCACAGGTGCTGCAGGAGTTTAAACTAGTACATATAAATCAGTTTAATCATTTTTAGTTGAAAGTACTCTGAAAGCTCTAAAAAATGTAAAACAGTGATCCCTCACAAAAGATTCTAAAACTACCAAAGTCATTATTATAATGAGTTGAAATGCAGTGGTCTTTTCTCTGTGCTTTATTTTATTAGAGGTCCTTTCAGATTAAAAATTGCATTGATGCAGGATAAAATATTTTTAGGTCTCGTTAGAGAGTTGGTAATAAGGGGACCTTAATTTACTATACTTAAAAAATAAAATCCTGATTATTATCTCTTCTGTTGACATCGTGAACATTTCTTTGGATATTCATTTCTTCAGAATTATTTTGGTGATCTTTTGGGGAAAAAACAATGCAGCCTCTGGACACTAGGTTTTAGATATAAAACATTAAACCTTAGAAAAAAACCTAAAAAACCTACAAAACCATTTATTCAGACCACTGGATCTTTGTATGTTCTGAAAGGCTTTTGTATTTTTTGAATAATTTATGTAATTCGATGTGAGATTTCACCAATAACATTAATTTACCGATGTGTATTTTTTTCCTTGCATATTTTCATAGGTTGACTATCCAACATTTTTTCTCATTGTTTGTTTTATGTATATATCCATTCATTCATTTGATTTTTTTGGAAGTTACAAGTTAAATGTTTGATGATCTCATTACCATGCATACTTTGAGTAAAACATGACAAATTATCAAAATTAGTATGAAATATCACTACACAATAAAATTAAATGGGTATAAAATTTTTTCTCTACATTGCATATAACAATAGTATTTATATCTAAGGACAATTTGCACTTAGTTTTCTGATACATAGAAATTATCTAATTTTTATTAAATATTTGTCATGAAGTGGGCCCTGTGTAAGATGCTTACATAGATTAATAAAAATAATCCACTGGACCTTGTCCTAAAAAGGATTCGATTTTTAAAAAATACCAAAAAAGACCCAAATGTCAAATGATCATGCCTTATCCAGCTTTTGTCTTTGTTTCATAACAGTCTTTGATCTAACTTGAAACTCATATAGCAACTAAAACCAGTTTTGCAAGGCAAATCTTTTCTCTACACATCTTCTTTAGCTGCTTTACAATGGACAGTAAAAATAAATGAATGTAACTAACACAATTTTTTATAATAGTGGTGTGATAGATAGTATTTTAGGGGCCAGTAGTTATACAGGTTGAGATGATCTGTTTCTGCTAAAATTCAAGAAGTACATAAGAGGCAGAATTGATGACATTTTTACGTGTCAAAGGAGATTTGCTGTCTGTTTTATCTTTTAGAAAAATCTAGCATTCTTAATGGTATTGCTTTAAAGTTGTTGATAAAATGTATTTTAGGTGTATACTGATAAATGGAGTTCTTAATTATTCATATGGATTCTATAGTAATGTTTTGGCTAATGATATGTTTAGTCTGAAATAAAGTAGAACACACATCAGATTTTGCTACCATATGTTTTAATATTCAGGACACTAAAATGTAATTGGAGTTCAGAATTTACAACACTTTGATATCACCTGTAAGAATTAAGATATTAGTCTGAAATAAATTACTTAGCATTTAGTATCATTGCTTTACTTGGTAATTCATTAATTCACAAAAAGGTATTGTACTATTTACGAAATCTTGTGTGGGGCACTTAAAAATACAACGATCATTAAGGCTAGTGGAGAAAATGAATAAGTGCGTAGCTCTTTATTATGTAAAATAGCAAGTGCTGTGTGTGTGCTTCCATAGATCAGAAACTATATCCATCTTAGAAGTAGAGGGTGAGGTTTGCAGTGGGGGTGATTTGTGAGCTGAGTCTTAGGGGACATCAGAGTGTCTGATGCTGGAATTAAAGCACAGAGCATGGTCTGTGAAGGGCTACAAGGCAGCATGGCATGAGAACCCACAGGGGTGGGTTCTCCAGAGGAAGTTGGGTGCCAAGAGCATCAGGAACTTGATGCTGGGGCTGGTTCTCTACCTTTTCTAGAAATCCTTTTTTGATTTCTGCATTTACCCAGTTTAATACTCACTACACTAATTGAATGCTCACAAGAGAATTTTAAAGGCAGTTCTTTCAATTATTGAGTTAAGAAATATTCACTGAGTGCTTACTGTGAGCTAGACATCTTGCCATGCATTTTTGTATAAAACTTCTCCAGCTTGTGTGCTGAATGTTGCTGTTCAAACTCACACTTAAGAGTAAAGCACTAGAAACTTGCCATGATGCTCTGATGTGGCGCAATCACAGTTATGTGTCCATAAACTTGTACCAATATAAGGCACAAAGTCAGGGTGGTTCCTTAGACACTACTTTGAGATTAGAAGTAGCACTCAAGCCTTTGGCTCGTCAGCCTGTGTTCTCTCTAACCACAATCAGAGACGTGTGTAATTAGGTAAGAAGGAACAGTTCCAAGGAGCTCAGGCATTCTTTATGCTGCCCTGTGCTTCTTGTTAATTGATTGTTTTAATAAAGATAAATTTAAAGCATTCCAGTATTTTCTCACCAAATTAGTGCATATTAACAGAAGTGGTGTTTGAAAGATATATTTTACCACAGTTGCTGGGACTACTATTAAGTGTTGTTATATATCCTGATACTCATGCTGTTTTCTTTTACAGACAAATTGATGGTAAACCAGAGAGGCCTTCAGTAACATATGCAACGTACCGAGGCCCCAGACAAATTAGGAAATATTTAAAGCAACAAACTGCATTAATAAGTGTGAATGCCTTGGACAGAGAAAATGAAAGTTCTGACTCGAGTACACACATACACACTGGCCCTGGAAGTGAGATTGAGGCCGGGCTGGTGCCATCATTGTCATCAGCTTGCACAGACTCATCTACAAAAGGATATTTGCTTGGAGGCCCATTGGAAGACTCTGATTGTAGCAAAATAAGTCTCAGCAGAGAAGGCCATCTGACAAACAATCCGGAAGTACAGTATACTGCTTCTTCTGAGGCTCATTTAAATATAAATGATCCTGGGGGCCCTGAGAGAAATAGATCATCCCCTTCTTCTGTGACTAACTCCAGCTATGCTGTTGAAGAATCTGACTCACAACACCATTTAAGTTGTGCACCAGTTTCTCAGACTGACAAAAATTTGGTGTACTCAGCATTGTTGACAGGAAGTAACAGCAAAGTCCCTTGCAGTCCAGATTTTCAAAGGCTAACTACAGTGGAAAATGAGATAAAAGAAAACAGCTCTGTGTTGAGTAATAGGACATTGGTGCAGAGAGAAGAGCATGTTAAGCCTCAGAGCCCTGCTATTTCTGACTTCTCTTCTAGTAAATCTGATGGGAGTGACACTGCTGAACAAGAAAGTACAAATTTGCCAAGTCCAAATAAATCAATTAGGCATGAAGATCTGCAGTTGCCAGAAAGTGAGTGTTCTGACAAGCAGACTGTAGATAACTCATCGAAGCAGTCTGCCAATCACACTGGTGCCACTGCTTTCCAGAGACATGCTCTGACAGACATAGAACTTGTAAATGAAAGAAAGAGGTTGTCTGCTCAAGACTCACAGAAAAATTTGGCTGTTACAGAACTCAGGCAAGAAACAGAAAGTGCCTCGGCTGGTAAACCTATAACTTCAAGTCATGTAAAAGCTCCAGAAGATAGAATTGAGACATCACCCAAAGATACTGACCAATTGTTTGAAACAGAAGCCAAAAATCTTGATTTTAGGCCACATGACAAAACTACTCACATTATTAGAAAAAATCAAAGGGACCCAGCCTCTATAAAAGATATCTGTGAATCAACAGTTGTAGTAAGCTTAGAAAGTATTAATAAAATAGCACCTATATCGAATTTTGAACTTAATAGAAATCACATTTCCAAATCTCCTCTCGACTCTGAGAGTCCTCAACAAGCCAAAGTATCACCTGATGCTAAAACAGCTCTTACCCTTGACTGTAAAAAATCAAACTTCAATACTTCACCTCCTACCTTTGTTTCTGGAGTTGGGATGTTGAGCAAGTTAGATATTCCTGTTTTAACGAATGAAGGTTCCTCTGTGCTCATTGAAACTGGGGATGTCATTGGCATTTCCTGTCAGCCTACTGAGCATCAAGAAGAAAATGTGACAAATCCTGTGGAGGCTGCAGATAGGAAGAGTCCTCCTCCACCTCACTGTGAGCATGCGCCTGCAGTTCTTGATTCCAAAGAAGTTCTTGATAGTGAAAAATGCCAAATTCCTCTAGGTCTTGAAGCCAGTGGCACTTACTTAACTGGGATGGACCAACTGAACTTTGAGTCTGGAAGCCTCACTAAGGAGCACAGTTCCATTTCATCTCAAGAACCTAACAAAGCAGAATTAATGCCTTCAAACACTAATGCAAGTAAGAACATGATAGAGAAGTCTGATTCTCTGTCCTTGGAAACCAAAACTGATAACATTGCTAAAATTTTATCAAACACTGAAGTTGATGGTCAGAAGAGTGTTCCTGTTGAATTTCAGTCTGGAAGAGGAAAAACGATACCCTTGTCCAAGATATCTGTTTCCCAAACAGAGCCCAGAGACATTTCTCAGGATAAAATTTTTTCTTCTCCATTTGAAATTACAGAAAAGCCTGTTTTATCAGAATTAACTTCTCTAGAGGTTGAACAGTACAAAAGTTTTCAGCCAATGGATGATAAGGGGATTAAAGAGAAATATTCAGCTTCTAGCCTTAAAGAGAATTACCAAGCTGAAGTTCTTCCACTTGCCTCCAAATATCACGGTACCCAAGAAACAGAAGTAGACACCTTAACCTCTCCTCCTGCTCCTCTTAAAAGTATTATATCTGGGATTTTACCACCTGTTCAGGATGAGAAAGTCATTAGGCAGATAGCACAGAATTGTGATGTCAACACTTGTATGATTCATCAATCTTTGGATAATTGTGGGACTAAGGAGATTTCTGGTCTCTCAGAAATGGCAGAACCAAGCTTAACTAATATTTCCCCAAAATTCCAAGAAACTGACAGCATAAACGTAAATTCACCTTTTCTAGGTTCTGATATCAGTTTGGAAAAAGATGTTTTTGCATCTGAAGATTCAAACTTTCATAATGTACCTTCTGTGCTGAGATCAGAAAAGAAAGCCTCATCACACAGAAAGAAAGAAAACACTGATTTTCTATGTAGTGCTACTGATAGTGTGTCTTCTTCCTCTAGTCACTCTGAAGAAGTTAGCATGACTATAAATTCACATAAACCCCAAAATAATCTTGATTCTGTAAGAGTCACCAAAGATCTCATATGTGAAGGTACCTCTTCAACTAACCTGCTGTATCCTAATAGCTCCTATTTGGAATTTGAAACACCTATGTCAGTAGGGGCAGAAGTGACCCCATTTCAGGAACATTTTGGGATTCATACTGGGAAGGTATCTCTTGATTTCCCAACCGCTGCCCAATTTGACAATCCCACGGAAGCAGAGACTGGAGCAGTTGCTGGGGCTCCAACGTCAGTTAACAGCTCCAGCCAGCCGTGTTCTGAAGCATCTGCTGAACACATAGAAGCTAGGAGAACAGCACATGACCAACTTTTGGACCTCAAAAGTGGTTTACTCAAAAAGGCTGATACGTTGACTGAGGAGATTTTTAATTCTGTCAGAGAAGAACTAAAATCCAAACACACAGTTGGTGCCTGCCAGGAGCTAATAGCCATAGACGGTATAATGAATCCAGGTACCCCAAAAGAAGACATCCCTGAGAAAAACCCATCAGAAGTGATGCTAACAGGAATTCAACTGACAGAGGGTTTGGAAGACCAGGGCATGGAAAACGTGTCAGAAGTCAAAGGAGAGAAGGCCTGTGTTTCACCTACAGCTGGTGAGAGGAGTCTCCTTTTTGATTCTGATAGAACAAATGTATCTTGTGTGTTAGAAGATCAAGCTAGGGAGTTAGTCAATGAGATTATTTATTCAGCCCAAGAAAATATGACAGATGATGCTTTTGAAGATACCTGGGATTCTGAACTTCAGGCTAATACTTCAAAAATTCTGAACAGTGATAGTATTAAGCCACATGATGTAGTTAGGGAGTTCTTGGTATCAGAACAGGCAGTTAATCAAAACACACATGAAATTAGTGAAAATAAAATATTAAGTAGATTCTTCTCTGTAAGTAACCTAGTTAGTGGCACAGAGTCAATTAAAGGAAGAGAAATTGTTCTCTACCAAAAATCCCCATTTTCTGGGAATGGAGCTGGACAGTCTGACAGTATAAATTTGCAAGAATCAGAAACTATTTTACTAGCTAACGACATGCCACATAAAGGGTTAGATGATAGGGAAAAAACACATTTATTTTGCAGTGAGGACTGTAAGGAAACAACAGAAGTACAGTGTGTGGATAATCACAAAACTGGAACAGAGGGTACAAGAACTCTTGTATTAAATTTCAAATGGCCTCCGTGTGCGAATGATGACATCCATGCCCCTGGTACGTCCAAAAGCAGTTTGTCTGATAGTCTTGTATGTATGTCTGAAAAAAGCTTGCCGGGACATAGTAAAAACACACCTCTTGCAGTGTCAGAAATAGGGAAAATACACAAAAAGGATAATGAAGCAAATATAGGAAAAGTCGAGCTTATACCTTCCATGTTAGAAATGGGAAAAACAAACAAAAAGGATGCTGAATTGAACATTATGAAATACGAGGCAGTCCCTCCAGTGTTAGAAATGGGAAGAATGCATAAAACAAATGTGGAACTAAATATCACAAAAACTGAGCCAAGAGCTGACATTTCTAATATGGGAGAAATACACCAAGTGGATGCTGAGAGGCATATTGAAAAAACTGAGGGATTACCTGTTACCTTAGGAATGGAAAAAGCTCATAATATGAGGGCTACTGAAGGGGATATTGGCAAAACTGAGTTGATGCCTGTTATGTCAGAAGCTAAAAATATCTACCAAAAGGATGCTGAAGGGGATATCGCAAAGATGGAGATGACACCCGGTACAGTAGAAATAGAAAGTATTTGCCAAAAGCACTCTGAAGGGGATGTTGGAAAGACTGGGGTGACATCTGTGTCAGAAGCAGAAAATTTCTACCAAAAAGATGATGAGGGGATGACTGTAAAAGCTGAAGTGCCACCTCTTACATTAGAGGTGGAAGATACTTACCAAAATGATGCTGAAGGGAATATTGTGAAGGCTGAAGTGACACCTGTGAGGTTAGAGATGGAAAATATTAACCCAAAGGATGCTGAAAGAGATAGCAGCAGAACTGAGGCGATGCCTATCATGTTACAAGTAGCGAACATTTTCCAAAAAAATGCCAAAGGGAATGCTGGAAAGACTGAGAGGCCTGCATTGGAAATGGAAACTACTTACCAGAAGGATGCTGAGGAGGTCGTTAGGAACACTGAAATGGCACCATGTGTGGTAGAAGTGAATGAATCACACAAGAAGGCAGCACCTGCCTCCTTAGAAATGGAAAAAGCACGCAAGAGGAATGCTAAAGAGACTATTGGAACGAGCGTGTCCATGCCCTCCATGATAAAAATGGAAAGAACATCCCCAGAAGATTCTGGTGGGGATATTGAGAGACACAGAGTGTTGCCCACAGTGGTAGTTGTCGAGAAAACACATGGAACAGGACTGGAATTGACCGTTACACAAGCGGAGGCCATACCTCCCGTGTTTGAAACTGAAAAGGCCCCCCAAGAGTATGCTGAAGGGGGTGTTGAAGAAATGAAGGGAGAACCCACTGAAATAAAGGAAGGCATGATAGCGCATGACAGCAGACTTGCTTCACATTTCAGGGGATATGAGCCACCTACGTTAAGTAAGGATTATGAGGGCTATCCAGCCTTAGCCATGCCAGATTTCCTACCTGAAGATACCGTAGTAAGGTTAGACCAAAGAATGTCTGTTACTGCTGTGTATGACAAAAGGAGAGATCTAGATTACAACGATGAAAAAGGAGAATACGATTTAGCTTTTGTTTCTCAGGATGAACAAGAACATTCTTCCTTTACTATATTATATGAAGAGCCCCTTCAAGACGAGGAGGACAAGTATGCATCTGCAGAAGTAAGAAGATCACGGTCTGTCTTGTTTCCTGATATGTCCCCTGACAGCATGCCCGTGCTGGCGTGTGAAAGGTCAGAGAGCAGAACTGACCTTGTCCATCACTTTGAGAAAGATACTAAATTAGGTGAGACATTTGATAGTGATAGTTCAGAAATGTTCTTATCAGTGGAGGCCAAAAGGTACAAAATTTACCCTTTAGCTTTGTCTCCCATTTATGAGGATGACAGCTCACAGGAGGACATTCTCTCCAGTGAGGTCTCACCGGGTCACCATGGCTCCATGAAATCAAGAGAGAGTGAAAACCAGCCCTCTTCTGTGTTATCGCTTCTCCAGTCGGTGTCGGAGCGTTTGAAGATGAATTTTGATGGAAATGACAGACAGGCAACTGAGGAGGAAGAGGAGGAGGAGGAGGAAGCAGCATTGTATAGAGGAGGCCTGAGAGCTCAAAGGAGGGAGCATGTCACCTTCCAGTTTCTAGATCCTTCCATCCCATTTTACCCTGAGGATGACCAGGAAAGCTCTGAAATTTCTAAGAATTCCTATGTCATGTCAAATGAACCTACTACCTCTAATCTGCAAATTGGTCTGTGGCCAGAAAAGCCCTCATTTGTCCAAAAATCTGACCTTACTTCTAAGCTACATTCTTCTTTAAAGAGTGCTTATCATCAGTATTTACAGACTTCCAAAACTCATTCCTCAGAAAAAGGAGCCAGACTTGGTGGGATTTTTCAGGAACCAGTGTCAAAGTATTTCCGTGTTCAAGACAACTCAGGCAGATTGAGCCCGTTCATAGAGGTAAGTTGTTTACTAACTAGCGAAGCAAAGCTTTGGGTCATGAAGTTATCTAAATTAAGCTTATTAAGAAAATCAGTGTTTCGAGGTTGTGTGGTTTGTTTTTTAAAAATACCTGATATATTCTTTGGTAAATATCAGATTTATTCAGGTTTATTCTTTGGTATCATAACTCATGTATTTTAGTGGACTGCGACATTGGGAAAACAAAATTGGTCAGAATTTAAAAAGCATGATAGCGAAGCAAGTTACTTTGCAGTCCTTCACTAATATTTTTCAAACTAAATTAAGTTACAACATTCTGAATTTCTCGAGGTACTGACTGTGGGAAAATTGTCAATGTCCAAGTAGCTTATGTGTCTCATGAAAGTATTTCTCTTTGACAGCAGCCTCTTACTATAGTTGCTGATATTTCTGCTCATACAAAGCAGGGCAGTGAGCAGCCTAATTTGAATTTAAAAAGTGGAAAATGTTACAACTTGGAAATGTTTCAAAATTCAGTTACATTTTTTTCTTGATTTGGAAATTTAATTGTTTAATGTAGATATGTATTGAACGTGAGACTTTCCTTTCTAGCATTCCCAAGATCATGGCACTTTCTGGAGAATTCTCAAGGCCTCTGCATCTTTACCTTGAACAGCCTTAGTAGCAGATAATAATGCTTGAATACCAATCAGTACCTTGCAAAGAAAAGTCATTTGAAAAGAAATGATGGGATTTGCAGAAATGTTTCTTTCATGGTTCCCCATTGCCTACCAAATTCAGTGGAATGTCTTCATTCCCTGTTATGAGGACCCCAAGTTCTTGTCTCCCCAAGGTGTAGTTACATACTCTGTGTTTCCTACCACTGTATTTTTTCTCAAGATGGTTCTCTTCCTGGAATTTCTTTCTTTCTCAATTTTCCCAACTCCAACCTACCACATTTTTTCACTCACTGAAATCCTATTTTTCAAGACCCTCTCAATAACACTTCCTAAGAATAGCTTCTTCTGAAGCTCCTTGTCCCATCACCTACCTCACCTACAGGCACGTGTCATTTCCGTAACCTGACATTTCCATAGTATTTTACCTGTGGGTCCCTCACTTAGAAGAGTTATGCGAGTCATGGTCATTTATTTCCCCCTTCTAAGCTATGTGCTTTTTGAAGGCAGAGATGATATTATTTTTCTGTATATTTGCATTTATATTCCTTGTATCTAGAGAGGCACCCTCCTTATAATGGTCACTAAGTAAATGTGTGAGGAAAATGAAAATGAACTATGTATCTTTCTACTGACGTTTCTTAAGCCTTACTTTTCTGATTTTATTTCAGAATGTTGACAAACAAACTCTCAGATGTAATCCAAGACCTGGGAAGGTAAGCATAACTTTCTCAGGTAGACTAAGATAAAAGGCGGAAAATAAGGTTACTTTTTGGCTTAAAGAGTTTAAGGTAAATATTTTTAACTGACTTAGAAAATGATTATTTCAGTCAAGGATTTAACATCTAAAATAATATTTGATTTTATGCATGTAGGATATTTTTCTATATTCTAAGACACTAGAATTTAAAATACATTCTAAAAATTAGTTATTGTACCTATTTCCTATATGTTTCAGATGGTTATCTATGATCTACATCGAAGTAAATATAAACAAGAGGTTTACTGTAATATTCCTGATGCTACATCATGGTCCTTTCCGAATGGGGTACTAGTAAAAGTTGTAAGGGGCTGGTAAGAAATCTCTTAAAATTTTATAGCGTATTTTCTGTAATTAAGTATGTCTTCTTGCTGTTTATGCTTTTTTGTATCTTTTTTATTAAACTCATATTCTCTTCCCCAAGTTTTTGACTGAATATTTTGAGACATTTTTAGTGTTTTATAATTTAACTTCTCTCTTTATTTACTGTGGCAGAAAATGTCTATTTTTTGTGCTTAACGCCAGCAGTTAAGTTGTAAGGTGTTAATATATACAATTTATACAATCAATACCATTCTGTAACTGCATTATTAGTAGGATAAGTTTGGCGGTCGAGTTGGTTGCTTCAGTGGAATGAAGCATAACTTCGAAAATGAGTTGGGAATTTGTGGGATGCAAAGGAATGTGACAACCACACAGCTAAAATCACTTGTATAGCTGATCATGCTCAAGAAGTGAAGGAATCTTTGTATGGTTTAAAAGTGAGGGAAAATGTTGTTTATTATTACAGGCCATATCTCATGGACATGCTGGAGCTAGAATTTCCTTGTCCAGTGTTGAGGTTAACCCCTGGTCAGTATGGTGTAGGGTTCTCTTCGTATAATAAAATGTAAATGTGACACATGCTGTATATTATCCAGCAATAGAAAAATTAGGGTGGAAGTGTAATCTGGAATTATTAAGCTATTGTTTTAATATAATTGTATAGCTTTGTGTATACAATATCTATAAAGTACACGTATACATAAATAGAGACATAGGCATGAATTGTGATATTCTGTTCACGAAGTATTTTTATTTTGAAGTTGTATGCACTTTTATTTTTTTCTTTTACTTTTTGTCTATGCTTAAATTAGCCTATATCAGTTTCAAAAATAAGATTATATGCTAATAGTGGAAGATAATCCCACTTAAAAAATTTAAGTATACATAAAATGGGTCTGATACTAAATATCATTTGTGTTATGCCTCATTTCTTAGAAAATTAAATATAACTGATCATTGCATTTATATTTGTTTAGCTGGATTTTATATGAGAAACCACATTTCCAAGGTCAGAAATGTGTGTTAGAAGAAGGGGAAAAGGTGTTAAATCGTGATTGGATTCTTCAGAACAGAAGGCATCCACAGAGAGACTTTGTATTGGGTTCTATCAAACGTGTGTTAAAGGTAACAGCTGTTGATTTCTCCCCTATTTTTTATATCATTTTATCATACAGTAAAACTGTGCTGTGGCCTAGCAGTGTTTATAAATGGTTGGTAATATTTGTGCTAATGTTATTAATTTTCATTATCATTGATAATCTTTTGAATTTATATAAAGCATAAGAGTGAATGATAGCTAAAAATATTAATAATAATCTGGTTCATAAAATGGTACATGATGTACTGTATATATTTTTACTAATATTAGTATACTGTTCAGGAATCTTTAGGGAAAAAGGCTGATATTACCAAGTGTATCTTTTTCTAGTGTGGATTGCTACCTCTTAGTGTGTGTGTCATGTGTTTATGTGTGTGTATTAGGGGAAAGTAAAGAAAGGAGGATGAAGAGAGGAAGGTGTTGCTTTTTTATTGTCTGTTTAAAAAATATTATTTAATACTAAGATGAGGAAGGTCTTCCAATATAAAAAATTTTGTAAGAAGTTCTGTGATTTAGAGAAGAGGTGAATTAGTGACAAGGACAGATATCAAATAAGGACAGAATTTTCCCATGTATTCTTAAGATTTCCTTCAGCAGTGATGTAATATATGCATGATATAGTACAGTTACTCGTGTGATAGTCATGTGTGTGTGTGTGTATATATATATATTTTTTGCAAGTTATGGAGATTTCATTTATATACTTAAAAATATAAGTGGACCCTGTCATGATGGTTGGATCGATGTTATTAAACTCTTGATAGTTGCACAACTATACAGAAAAAATAAGTATAGCATACAGAAAAACTCAAGCTTTCATAAAAGAATGCCTGCATACATTTTATGTGAGTCAATATTTTCTGCAAAAATGTAAATATTTATATATCTAGCAAATATGTGAGTCTGCTTTTGGACCCAATCCCATGGTGGGGACCGGAATAGAAATACAAGTGAGATGTAGTCCCTTACTTCAGGTTGCTTAAAGTCTGGGGAAGAGACAGATGAGTCACATGACTAGATGATATGAAAAGTGCTCTACAGGGCCCTGTGGGCAGACAGAAGAGGCACCTTACTTGGAGGAGGAGCACCTGGTTGGAGTCTTGCAAGGATAAACAGGAACTAGGCAGCATGAGCTAGGCTCCTAGCAGAGCCACTTTTGTCAGATACAGAGGGGAGCATTGGTGGCTGGTGGTACTGAAATGAGATTAAGATGGGTAAAGTGGAGAGAACAGTGTCCATTTTCATTGAAAGATTTGACTGCAAGCAATTCAGTTCTGCCAACAGCATTTGGGTGCTCAATTAGCTAACTCATTGAAAATTCCTTGAAATGGATTAGTTTATCACTCAGATCTTCTGTGATTTATATAACTTGTGGTTGTGTGCCTTCTTTGTGAAATCAGGTACCATACCAGGCCTAGTGAGAAAAAATATGAATAATACATGGCAAACAGCCACAACCCCACTTCCCTGAAAATCAACAATAAAATCAAATTCAATCTGGTGAGCATGGATATTTGCACATCCACCATTTGCTTGGAATGTGTTAGAAGAGAGAATAAATCATGCTTGCACTTTTTTCTTCCTTCCATTGTTCTTAGAATCATTTTTTTAGTTAGTGCCCATGTGTCTTGGACAGGCTAGCAACCTTTTGTGAGGAAGGAAAATAAAACTATTGAGCATTAAACGGAAAAGGCATTAGCATTGTTCTAAATATTTTACAAAGCAATAATCAGGCATCAAACTGCTTCCTTTTCCCAACCTTGTCAAAATTCTGCCTTTTGATAGCTTCACGGCCATGGTGGTTGTTTCCATGCCAAATCCACGTACGCCCGAGCCAACTTTATCTTGTTTCATCATCTTAACTTTAGTTGCTCTCATCTGTGCAGTCAAAACTTTAATGTTAAGATAGTTCTTTCACCATGTCTTTGCTTTGCTGTGAATATATAACAGCAGGTACCCTTAGTTATCAGCAGCTGTAGATTCCACTCAAGGGTCACCTTTGTCCTTCCCCAGTGAGAATATTAAGGATGGGGGTAGCAGTGCAATGAATCTTCACTAACGTGCTTTTGTTTCTCAAATTAGAATAATGAGTATTGCAGATCACTATGTTCACTGTGCATTTGATATTCTTTTCAAAGATATGACATTTTTCTTATGGTCAGAAGTTACTTAGGTCATGCCCTCATTAATGAGCCAACAGAGCATCCCTTAGATCAGGGATTCACAGTATCTTCTGTAAGGCAGAGATAAATATATTTTCTTACTATTTTTGTTAACTGTAGTTCATTGCTAACCTGTTTCTCTCCTATAACTTTGTCTCCATCTCAACTAGTTGCCATAATAGTCCAAGCTTGCACATTTCACCAGTGTATTTGCAAAGTATAGCGTGACTGGAAATGTCTGGGAGGAAGCCATGTAAACTGTTTATTATTGCTAGGTTACTATGAAATGCCCCTAAACTGCTAGTATTTGACTGCCTTTGTCCATGAAGACTTATATAAATATCTTCCAAAAAATTCTATTTCTGGGAAAAAGATGGAACTTATTAGTCTCTTTTTTCAATCAACTAGAGCAAAAATTAGGTTTTTAGTAAAGATAGCTAAGAACATATCTTTTCATTTTTGTTTATTTTCTTTTTTTTTTAGTAATCATTATACTCTTGCTGTTTCCTTCTGTGTTGTTGTAGACTTGAATGCTTTTTCCTTTTAGAGTACACCACCCAAACATTGTTTGTATAACACAATGCAAAGGAAATTTGTTTGTGTGAGACACTTAGTTATGTATTCTGTTACTGTACCTCATATCCCTAGGGGAAAATTATATGGCAGTATTTGAAATAGTGTTATTCTTATTTCAAAGCATACAAAAGAGCCTTGAAGATTGACAGGTGACGGTTCTGTATATTTCTGGCTATTTTTGAGCTAAAACTTGAGAAGGAAATATACTTTTATACTTTAAAGGATATTTTAGATTATGCTTCTTTAGTATATGGAATTTTAGAACTAATTTTCTGAAGATTATATGTATAAATTTACTTGCTTTTACATGTTAACAAAATGAGAATTCAGTTTAGGGAAAGGTTGAAAGACAGAAAATTTCAGTTTTAAAATTACAAAACTTATAATAAAAATATAGTTTAGTCTCTGATAAATGCCACCTCTGATTGTTATTACATTTACCTATTTTGTTAAAGCATATTCATTTGAATTTCACATGAAATTTGAGTTGCATATTTAAACACTTATGAATATTGAGATAGATTGTGGTGTGTTCAGATAGAAGCGTATCTGTAATTTCAGAGAAGGGAAAAATAATTGTGATTTTGATTCCTTAAGAAAGAACAAGGTCTTTTTTGAGTTGAAACTCAACTAAAGATTTTCATAAGTAAGATTACAGGACTGGCACAGTGGCTCATGCCTGTAATCCTAGCACTCTGGGAGGTCGAGCAGGAGGAATGCTTGAGCTCTGGAGACTAGCCTGAGCAAGAGTGAGACCCCGTCTCTATCAAACTGAGAGGGAAAAAAACCAGCCTGGCTTTGTGGTGTACACCTGTAGTCCCAGCTACCTAGGAGGCGGAGGCAGAAGGATCACTTAGAGCCCAGGAGTTGAAGGTTGCATGAACTACAGTGATGCCACTGCACTCTACCCGGGGTGACAGAGTGAGACTCTGTCTCAGCAATAACAACAACAACAACAAACCACAAGGAAACTAAACATCCTTCCTCACAACCTCCCATCCCTTAAAAAAAAAAAAAAAGATTACAGATAATTCTTTAGTTCTGATGGGAAAAACATCTGCAAAGCATGCGGAGACCAGAGTGGGAGTGGAGATAGCATAGAGACCAGTATGACTACAGAGTTGTGAAAGTTAATGTGGATTGCTGGTTTGGTTCCATACTGTATTATAGAAAGATAAACAGAAATATGAATTTGATGTGATTGGATCTTAAGCCAAGGAGCGTCGTAAGGAAAGTGACGTTTGTGCTTGACTGGTGGTTGTGAGTAAGCCTATAATGAAAGTCTGGGCCTAACTAAGGGCCATGACGGTGAAAATAAGTGAGAAGAGATATACACAAGTGAAATTTTAAAGGACAATTTGACAGGACATGGTGATGGTAGGTGTATAATTTTTTAAGACTGTGATGGAGTGTAGATCAAATTTCATAATGCTTTTCTTCTTCAAACCAGCTTGCACTGAAAAAAAAAAAACCAGAATCCTACAAGTAGGAAAACAGATTTCCTTTACCCTCACCTCTGATTCCTACTTCTTTTGTCAATGTAAATTAGATAAACACACTGAAGGGGCTAGCTCCTCTCTATTTATTTTTTATGTTCCCCATGAGATCAGCTTTTATTTAACTCCCTTCCTCCCTTATGGCTTTGTTATGTTTCTAGAAGGAAGGCTTACAGACATTTGGCACTCAACTATTTTGGTGAGTCTGAGCATTGCTTAATGGAATAAGCCTTTAAAAAACAAAGCAGAAAAATTGGGACAACAATTTTTCCATTAATAATATTTGTAATGTTTATATTATTAACAGAACTCCTTAGAAGAACTTATTTTAAAAAATGGGCAAGTAGAAACAATATTTCCTTTATGTTGTTTTTGGGAAGAAATTCAACTGAACAATGACAATGATTGTAACTGTGCGTCCAGAGGATTGAGAATACTAGACTGTGTGTCTCTAGATGATTTCAAAGCCAAATTTTTTTTTTTTTCAGGATTGCAGCATTCCAGAGATAGAGCTTTGCCCACAATCTGACCCAGCATGTTCTCCTATCTATATACAGCGGGCAATCCCTAATTTGGAAGAACTGAATATCCCCAAATCTGTGTCCTTCACTGTGAAGTCAGGAGTGTACGTATCAGTTTCTCTTTATTACAATGATCCACAGCCACCAAAGTTAACATTTCAATAAGTGCATACGTATTTTTGAAGTTTTTAGTTAATTTTGTTTATACTCCTAGATACCCCAGAAAGACTACTCTAGGGGTTAAAACGGATTCTGTCTTTGCATCTGATTAAGGCCTTGATGTGTGGCTCACAGGAGCAGATATAGAATTTTCAGATATATTCATAGTTCTTGTTAGATGGATCTATTGTCTTTTCATCTAATAAATTTTGCAATTAAGAAATAAAAAACATATCCCTGGCTACATTCTGAGAAATGTTATTAGGAAAACATAAAGAAAAATAAAAAGAAAAACAAAACGAAAAAACAAGCCCCTGGCCTAAAACTCGAGCCTGAACTATTTCTGTAGTGTCTACACAATGGTTATTGAATGCTTCTGCTTTTTTTTACTCCTCTATTCCTGTAAGGCTGTTACTCTCATGTTATAGATGAGTGATTTGTCCCAGGCTACTAGCTGGTGAGCATGGATTTTATACAAGGCCTCTCTGAATCCAAAGGTATCTATTGTGATTCTGAGTTCAGGCTAAATTCAGTCCCAGATTGGCTCACTTCACAAAAGCGTGTGGATACCTGGCTCCATGTGGACCCCTCCTCTCTCTTTCACTATTTTTGTTTACTCTGATGATGGTCAGTGTACAGATTTGGAGTCACTATAGAACATCATTTTTTATCTCCCCCCAACCATGAATTAGAACTCTTGGGCAGGTCCAGTAATTAGCCCTATCCATGAGAAATACCTGTAATTATCAAGCTTAGCTGGAAGATAAGATGGGTTTTTTGGGAATCTTATTTCAAATACAGTTTCTTAGGGCGCCAGTAGAACTGATATCAATTCTAAAAATTCTAAAAATGTGGATCAAAATGTAAAATGCCTGATGGAATCCCTGCCTCTGATTGTCCCAGTTTAAAAAAGAATGAGATATAGTGGAATGGTTCTGATTTTTTAAATTATATCCTGCTTTGAATTAAAGGTGCCACATGTTTTAGGTATTAGAAAATAATAAGAAAATTAAGGCTAGCACTTGAAAAATATATTAGCCTTGTTATAGGATAGATAGTGTGTGAGGGTAAATAATAACATGTTAGTTCTTGTTATATATACTGACTGGCTAATCACTTTGAGTGTTTTTTACTAGTATGATTCTGTGATGGAGATCTTTTTTTGGTAGCCTCTTTTACTCTTACAGAGCCAAATGATGTGTTACTATTATACTTTAACTGACCATTTATTTCTTATTTAGTTGGCTTGCCTACCCAGATATTAATTTTAAGGGACAAGCTACAGTTTTGGAGGAGGACCATGGGCTCTTTGAGATTTCTGCAGCAGAAATGAAATCATTGCATCCACTTCAAATGGTAAGAAAATTTAAACAGAAGAGTTCCTTTTCCCAGGTATCCATGAGTCCAAAATTAAATAGCTGTGATGATTGCTCATGTGTCTCAATCTTAAGAAATGAATATGTGTATTACTGAATTGGTAAACTATTAGTATTTACATATTGTTTTTCTGTTTCTTTATTTTGTAGAGAATATATCTAATATGTCTGAATGTACTTTGTATTTTGCCAAGTTTATCACAGTACATGTAGTTGCCTTATAAGTATTCTTCTGTGAAAATTCTGAATATTTAATAAAGCTCTGAATTTGCTTTGTGGATGATTATTAGAAAATTGTACTAAATTATACTCTTTCACTGCAGTAATAAATGATAAAGCTCAGCATTAATAATAAATGGGCAGTTCTGTCAATGTTACTTTCTTAAAGATAATAAGTTCCTGCAGTATTTACAGTACTTTTTGTTGCAAATATTTTTATTTTATGAGCAATTAAATGTTGGCTATATGAAAAGCCATTTCTGGTTGTTCTGTGCCTTTTTAAGAAATAGAAACCATGACAAACTGAGAAATTTTAAGAAATACCCCAATGTGGAGTAGCATTTGAAACTAAAAAATTACAGAATTACAGAATTGGGGTTTTTGTAAGGAGGGGGTTACTTTTTACGCTGTACAACCTCAAGGTCATGAAGACATTGTAGTAAGTGTTGGTAGAACTTGGAGGAGGAAATGTGGTTAGCTCAGTGCTCTAAAATTTAGAAAACCCGAGTAATCAATCATAGGGAAGACATTTGGATTAATTGGCTAAGAAATCTACTGTGCCCAATGAGATTTCTAAATCTACTGGCAGTTCCACTCTCCTTTTTACGACTCTCTGCAGTGGGATTAAATATCAACTGGTCATGTGTGCTCAAGGACTAAAGCTCAGCTTCCTTCCTTGCAGTAGTATTAATCTGGAAAGCTGAAGACAGAACGGAAGCTCAAAAGAAAGAAAAAAAAAAGTAAAAATAAAAAAAAAATAAAAATAATCTGGAAAGCACCTCTTTAAGATTTCTTGCCCCATCTACATTGATGTAGAGCAGTTTGACTTGGTTTTGACTACTGTAGAGTTCTGTACTTAAAATTTTAAATTAATCACAACTTAAATTTGGTATGTAATCTTCACTAATCAGATTTTTTATGTAACCTATGCATGTTGCTTTCAAATATTGTTTTCAGATGTTTTAAATATTTACCTGTCTAATATTAAAATGTCTTGTCATCTTAAGGGTGGACTGAAAGTGGAAATGCCTATGAACTTAAAGGTAAGTCTTGAACAGATTTTTGTAACAAACTAAAAAGTCGGAGTATTAATCGTTCAGTATTTTGAACTGTTAGAATAAAAAAATTACCTCAGTGTATGATAATGCCTGGCTAATGCACACTGTGGTGGGAACAAGTGCACAGGATGTTTGCTGAGGGTGCACTTGGGGCTATGAGTGAAGAGTGGGGTCAGTCTGCAAAGATGGAGGTCTACACTGGCAACCTAGTCATACCCACTAAGTGTCTACTACAAAGTGGAAAGGTGATGGGTTCAATTTGTGTTTTGGGGATCTTGAGATAGCAGCTAGACATTCAAGTGGAGATACCTAGTAGGCATGGAAGTGATGTTCAGAAAAAGGAGGTGAAGAGTGATCAGAAGGAGGTGTAGGTAGCTTTTATAAGATGGACATCAGTTTGTAAGTATGAATATTTGAAGAGAAGAGTAGAGGGCAGTGAACACTGAGGTGACAATGGTACCATGATCAAGCAGACTTGGGGAAAGAAAGGAGGAAATAGAATTACAAAATGCATGTGAAGAAAAATAGGAAAACCAGTGCAGTGATCAAAGATGCAAACAGGCTTCCTGGTAATTAGGTTACAGCACCTCCAGAGGAAGGTATGAAAATAGGGATTCACCCATCCTTTTCCTGTCCTCTAAAACAGGATACAGCTCTTCCAACTGTCCCATTTCTGGGCGTCCTAATTTATGGAACTGGCTAACATTCTCTCAATTGCATAGATAGAGTTTTCTAAAATTCGTGTATCTAATAAACTTTGACTATATGTTGTAATCATACTTGTTAAAGTTTTAAAAAATAGTTATGCCTGAGTTCCACTCTCTGAGATACTATTTTGATTTGGGGTGTGGTCAAGAATTTTCAAAGATCCCTAGGTGGTTCTAGCATGCAATCAAAGTTGCAAACTATTGATCTAAAAGATGTAGAATTAGCTGTGACACTCAGTGACTCCTGTCTCAATCTCCTAGTCCAGTGAATCAGAACTTCAGTTGCAATAGTCTGGATCTTCCTTAGAAACTTGCAGTTTGACAGGGTGTAGGTATATATATGAATGGATTGATTATCATAGAAAATCATAATTTGCAAGTTGTTAGATATTATTTATGACAGGCTTATGAAATAATTATTGCTCCTTAGTTTGAATGTTGTCAGCATACGTAACATGTATTATATAAATAAACCCAAATAAAACTTTATCAATTCAAATACAGCACACAGTGAAAATCCAATTTGTAGAAAACAGTGTAAGCACACTATATATATTTTTATTCTGTGTAATATTACCAGTTTTTAGAAATTAGAAAGCTATAACTTTTTGGTTTAGTGTTTTTAAATGTGAGGTCTTATTTGCCAAGCTCTTGAGTTGCCAGTTGTGCACAAATTACTTCAACAACTACAAATAGGACTGAGTGTTAGAGTGTTATAGATTAATGCTATTATCACTTTATCACTCCCTCATACTTAGGGCAGCTTCTTTACTTGGGAAGTAAAGAAGAACAAAATAGAAGAGAAATACAGTATTGATCCAAATTTGAAGTAAATAAAATGCTAGAAATTTGTTTCCTATAACACTCATTGCATCTCCCCCCAATTTGAGTCAAATATCCAATTTTAAAAATCATAATTTTTCAATTATTTCTTATTTTTAGGAGCTTTTGTATTTAAATTCAAGAATTTGCTGTCTGTTTTTTTCTCAATGGATAGTAAACACCATAGGAGCAGTTAGTGTTTTAAGAAACAGTATGTATGTATTTTCTCAAATCAATAGGTAACTTACTGTTATACTCTGGAATCTCAAGAGAGTGTTTATTTCTTTAGGGGATATTCAATAAATATAAGGCAGGTCTATATTAAATTCTGATACAGGGATAAACTTACAAAGGTATTTCAAGAATAAGTTATTTTATTTCATTTTTTTAGACAATTAACTCTATGAGATGGTCCTAGGACCAGAACAATGTAATCATACTCAAATATATTAATATGAGAAAAATATATTAAGATTTTTACCTTTATGATGATAAGGACTCACATATTCCTCAGACACTGTGCTATGTTGTAAGTATATATTAATGAAAAAGACAGTGGTCCTTATTCATGTTGTGATCTATAGTGTCACTTAAGTAAGTCAATGTGTATCTATTCTAAAATATGAGCATATTAAATAATTTTCCATATTTTTCAGGTTATTATTTATGAAAAACCTCACTTCCATGGACAGGCCAAGGAATTTAGTGAACATATAGCTTCTGTTCCTAATTTTTTAAAAAATAATGAGGACTTCCATGGAATTGGATCAATTCGTGTCATTGGTGGAGTGTGAGTATCATATTTTCAATAGTTGATTTAGTAGTCCATTTTTGAAGATCAGCACAAAAAATGTGCTAAGCAGAGCAAAAAGCAATCTGTTTGTTTTAATCTAAAAGTATACATTCCTTCTTTGATATTTAAAGTAAAAAATACTAGTTACTAACAGCTTTCTGTGAACTCTAGTTGGAATTAAAGATTTTGAGATAGATAAAATGTAGAAAATGGTTTCTAACACTTCAACACTTAGTATTTCTAAACACCACATAGAAGTCAAGAATTGCAAGATAAAATTATTTTTTCACAGGTTATAAACATGAATGAGAGCCCCAGTTTTTATCATCTGTTCTGTTGATCTTAATCAACTTATGTGTCATGGACCTTGGACGTGAGCCCTCCCTCATTGAAGTAGTAGTCTGGGTTGTGTGTTTCCAAAATCAAGCGTTTTTGACATTGGTTGCCTTCCGGCCCTGAACTGCTTTTGAGGAAGCCTTGGGTATAAACCCAAGTCATTACTATTACATGATTACATCATTACTACCATCCCAGTCTCAGTCAGCAGTTACTGTGACAGATCCCCAGGAAATCTGTGACCAGGCTGAGATGTGCCTTTATTTTAAAACCATGGAGAAGAAACTTCCCTCATACTTTGTCATTGTCAACCCAGTGCCAGAATCTCTCCAGAGACATTGTGTGTCTCTCTGTTGATACATTGGTTATTGTGGAAGGTTTAACCATCAGTATCTTTCTGTCTTTATTTTTACTTTAATCTTTTTATTCCAAAATATTAAGGGGGTAGAAATGTTTTGTTGCATGGATAGCTTTATAATGTTTTAGTCAGTGCTATAAGTGTGCCCATCATTTGAATATTGTTCATTGTTCCTATTAGGTAGGCTTTTATCCCTCCTCTCCTCCCCCTGCCCCTTTCCTGATTTCTCATGATTTTTACTTCTTTCTGTGCTCATGTGTACCCATTAATTCATTCCAAATGATAGAATCTCTTGATATTTGCAGTAATATCATATAACTTTTTTATGTTATTCTAGCAAAAGAAGTTACTAAAATATTTTATTCATAGAAGTTAAATGACTTGTGTAAGATCTCTGAAAGGTCTATATTTAGAGACTTAGACTTTGCAATATCTGGCAATAAATTAAGTAATAGCCATGCCAGCCAAAATGGAAATGTAAGAGACTGCAATATGCTAGATATGCAGGTCATATCAATTATTAGTCTGATATATTGTTAATCATATAATTCCTGTCTTTGAATTTTGAAAATTTGGAGTTTGAAGAGTAAATATGGTTTAGATAAACACATTTTTATTGTGTTGTATTTATTTGCAGTATTTTCTGGTTTGTGAACACACATGCTTCTTGTTAACCCTGCTGTAAAATATTTTTGCCTTTTCTTCTCTTTGGAATCTAAATGTTTTTCCTATTAAATAGATTGATTTAAAACTATTTTTCTGCTTCATAAAAAATTATCTGCTAAAATTCAGTACACTGTTCTCTGTTTTTATAGCTATTTCATAAAAATCTCAAGAAAATATGGCTTATAATACAGTATATACACTTTTGTTTTTATACGAAATTGAAGGAGAGAAATGCAATGCCCCCATTTAAAGATGAACAGATGACTTCATTACTTTTTCACCGTTTTACCATGTTTTGCTTTTGTTAGCTGTGTAATTTTATCTCTAGGTAGCATGGACTCTTCCTTATGCCTATCTTAAGGAATCTGAGGAAACTGAAGTTGATGTTTCTTAATTTTTCTCAGATAATACCTATTTTTAAATATCACAGATGAATATATAAATTGAATCTTAATCAAAACTTTGTATACTAAGAAAAACTGGGCAGATTTTAGATTGTTATTATATAATAGGTATGCTTAATCTGTCCTTTAACAATAAGATCTTCTATACCTTTTGTTCCTTTTCTCACTCAGGTATAATTAAAAGCATGTTTTGGGTAGCCATATTTATACAAAAGAAAGCTTAGAATTTGAAAGTTGTTTTTTGAAATTTATTAATGTTAGTTTCTTTACGTATTGCATATATACTAGGATGTATAAATGTGTTTATATGCTTATTCCAACTTACGTGGACCCGTCGCCCACCATAAAAACATACGGAAACCAAGGCAGGATTAATGATGACTGGATGGCTACTGTTATTTTGTGCCCCATGAAAACATTTTTTTAGACTATCTTAGGCTTCATTTTGTCAAGTTTCTGAATTCCAAAGTCCCCAACCCTGGAGCTCATAATTGTCATCCTTGGAATCTGCCCAATTGGAAGGGGTTCTTCCGTAACTACACAGTGCAGCTAAGGGCAGATTTAATCAAGTCAACTTGTTTTATGAACAGTCTTTGCCCACATTGCGTTAGATACTGTGGATTACTCCACACAAAAACAAGTTTCATGGAAGAGCTTAATAACTAATGGTATTTCTAAGTTTTAGATTAGATGTCAAGAAGTCGGTGGGACTAACATTTCCCACCCGTAAGTGTTTACAGATGTCTTTGTGTACAGGGAGGGCACCAGGGCTAATACCAGCTTAGTCACATTTCCCAGTTCCTCTTTGCTAAACCTCCCTGTGTTGTGTTTTTGATCTGGAGCCTGGTGAGAGATTCCCTTGATTTAAACTCTGAATAAATGTTTAGTACAATAGTCAGTCTGTGGCTCGAGAAGAGCTTAATCAGTAAAGTAAAAATGATTATTTTTGCATCTCAATGTGGATTTATAACTCCCCTCGTTGGCTATATATGCTTTCTATTATTTTTATTTGGCAAACTATTCTCTGAACATGTTGGGTTATGCAAGCAAGTCATACCACACACATTTAATGAGCATTGCTCTATTTCAATTCTACAATTAACCTTTTGTTGGGAAAAGCCTTCAAACTATAAAAACTATCAATCCACGAAGTGCATACCATTTGTCTGTCTTTGTAAATGGAAATAAAACAGTTGTGTTGCTTTTTAGAATACGGCGATGAATCGCTATGAGCTTTATCATGATTTTCTCTCTTTTGCTTTCTTGACTACAGTTTTATCAATTGCTCAGTTGGGTATCCTCTGTATTTCTAGGTGGGTTGCCTATGAAAAAGAACATTTTAAAGGCCAGCAATTCCTGCTTGAAGAAGGAGACTTTGAAGACAATAATGCTTGTGGGGCATTAAGTGGCCCCATCTTGTCTTTCCGGTACTTACAAGCTGTGAGTTAATTTTCTTATCCTTAATTTTCTACCTGTTTTATCTGTTCATGAAAATTGGACATGACCACTCATAGTTCATGAGGTTACAAAATGTTTCTAACACCTAAGGACATGAAACTGAACTGCCTATATGACTTTCCTGTTTTTCTCAACTGTTGTGAGTATTAGAGAATATTTATTTTTACTTTTAATCCATTGTCATTTTTGAGCACCTGTTGTGTTAGATGTATTGTGCTAGGTGCTGGAGATTAGTTGCCAGAGGCTCAGTCCCAACATTCACAGAGCAGGCAGTCTGGCAGGGAAGATAGCACTTACATGAATGTTTGATATTGTTGGACTATGATTTGATTAGCTACAGACCACTCAGGGTACTACTGAGGGAAAGGTCCGTTGGTCAGTTATTCCCCACTGGGAGTAGAGAGGGCTTTGTGGAAAGGATGATAGTTGCACTGAAGTTTCAAGTTCAAGAGTTAACCCCAAGTGGAGAATTTCTAGGACTGGGTGAAGGAAAAATGAAGGTGCTGTTTAGCAAGAGATTAACACATGTTTATGTGTAAAGTAGGGCTGTAAGTCATTGATTCTTAGCTGGGGGGGATTTTATCCCTTAAGGTGCATTTGGCATTGTCTGGAGACATTTTGGATTATCATGTCTGGGGGTTGGGATGCTACTGACATCTAGTGGGTAGAGGCAAAGGATGCTGCTAAAACCCTACAGTTTGAAGGACAGCCCACAGCCACAAAGAATCATAAGGCTCAAAATGTTAATAGTGCTGAGGTTGAGAAACCCTCCTATAAGTGAAACTATGGTGTGTTTGCAGAAATGCGGTTAAGTTAGGAAGAACTTCGGAAAGATAAGTCTAGAGCCAGATAATGAGGGTCAGTATGCCATGTTAAGGAGTAAGATTTGGAGCCATTGATGGATTTTGGGCCTAGTGAGCATGATTGCATTAATGGTTTAGAAGGATCTTTTTGGTGACTGTATCAAGTGAGTCGGAAACCAGTTCTATCTGAAGGAAATAGAGAACAGTCCACAGAAAATTAGGCACTGGGATTGCTTGAGCAATGGATAAATCACTTTTGAAGTATGTAGTCCACAATTCTAATACACAAGGGCCACAGATTTTCTTTACTCAGCCATGTCTTTCTTGACCACTAAACAAGGCAAGCAAGAAAAAATAAAAAAAAGAAACTTCTTATTTTTTTTTTTTTTAGGTCATTGTGATCACATTCATTGAGGAAACCATAGGTCATCAAAAGCATTGTCCAACCAGTATTGAATAACTTAAACATTTTCCCATATTATTTAAAACAAAGAGTTGAGTGGGGATGTTGCTGATGCTAGAAATGTTTAGCAATGAATGTGATGATATCTTCCAAAGATCACTGTGACTAAAACAAGCAAACAAAACACAAAACCCCAAGTCCCTGGTTGAAATCTCCCAAGAGTAGAAAATGTGAAAAGTTTTAAATACTGTAAGTATATAGCTAAATAATTAGGAGATATTTGATATAGATAAGTTCTCTAATACAGAGTAGAAAAATTGGCATAAATGAGCATGTTCATTACTGCTGCACACAAAAGTTTGGGCATATACAAAAATGATGACACAGTTTTGTTAGATATGAGTAAAAATGCCCTTCAAAGAAAATCTTCTGTTTTCTTGAAATTAGATTTTTTTAAAAATTAAAATATTAGTTGTTAGCTTATAGTTAAAGATGTTATAGTCTTCATTATAATAATCCTAACATTTATAAGGCACTTAACTACTGGCTTTACCTGTATACTTGCACTAACAATCTTCACAAAGACTATGAGGTAGAGGCTCTTACAATTCATCTTACAGAAACAGAAACTGAGGATCAAAGAGATTAGATACTGTGCCCTAGTATAAAGCTGTGAATTCAGGGCAAGTCTGCCTTACCCCCATGTCATATTATCCATTTTCCATTTTTACAAAATGGTTAGACTTAAAAGGCACCTTAACAATGGAAAACTGGATTTTATTCAGTCAAAGGCTTATTAGCATTTCATTTATAGCTATAAATACAGGGTCACATTATAGACCAGTGTACATATATAACAAATAAGTATTTACATGATTTTTACTTTATCATTTCAATTTATGTTCACTAAAATATTTTCAGATGAAGTATACTAAAAAATCTACACATAAACAGCATAAAATTTATATATATATGTATTATAAAAATGCTTTAAAAACTTGCTTATCATGTTATACTTAGAAAAATTATATACTCCCCAGACATGGCATATAATTGGGAAGGAGTTCTTAAAAGCTCATGTGACTGTGCCAGCCCTCTGCGAGGCAATAGGTAGAGCCATGTCAGACATTGTTTCCCTAGACAGACTCTCAGATGTCTCCAACCTGGGAAAGAATGTAGCACTACATTTAAGATCTCACTGGAAGTAATATTAAATAAACAGGAGGATAGGTAGAAGAGCTGCATAATACAATACAACTTTCAAATGTCCTGGCTCCAGTATATGGAACACTCTGGATCTACTAAGGTCAAATACCGGACATGTTCCTTAGGGATAATGTGATCTGTGTCATGGAGTGCTTCAGAGAGGACAACCAGAACTGTATTCTTAATTCCAAATGAGTCATTCAGATATATTGACTTGGACTTGATTATTGTTATTATTTTTTTTTTAAAAAAAGGAGAGGACCAAAAGGAAAGTATTTATGCTCCAGGGATTAAGGAATTTTTATTCCTTGGCTTCCTTAATAAAACTTTCTTGGTGTGCTTGTTTTTCCTCGGTATTATCCTAGCTTAACTTTAGGCTTGCTTTTGTTATGATTTTCAGACTGTAGGCTTCTTTTCAGACCTCTGAAACCAGGTGGTATGTAGTGGAGACCATTTCTCCGAAGTTAATGGATACGTCAGATCTCCAGTGGTGTCTCATACCCTGTTGCCCACTGGTGACTGTAGCACAAAAACTCAGCTGAGAGATTTTATGTACTTAAAAGTAATCAAATTACTGATCCTTAGGACTTATCTTTGGGCCCGAAGCACTGCTCATTAGTTTTCTCTAAAGTAGAGAGTATTATACCCGAGACACTACTAACCTATCCAAGTGCTTTAAAATATAAAATGGAATACAGTTTATAAGATCTTTCCATCATTGTTCATTCTTTTCATTCTTTCATTTTACTCTGTGTGACTTTCAGAGTTATTTAATTGTACCTAGAAAAGCAGGGAAGATAGTAGCCTGGTAACCTCATAGGGCTTACTCTGGACATGACTTGAGTGCCTATTCTGGTCTCTTCGTGAAAAAGGCTGTTAGAAGTTTTTTGTTTTATGGATTTTTTTTTTCTGTGTATTTTTTTAACCACATTTTGTACACGTGACCCATGGCGTTTCATTCCTAGGTGATTGGAGCCAGGACTGGCCTGTGACCCTGAGCACAGCAGTTGGCTTAGAGCTAGAGCTCTGCCCAGCAGGGACACCATATTGAAGGCAACTAATTAAGTAGACCAGCTATTGTATATATGTAGGCTTAAGAGAAAAATGCAGAGAGGGACAAAACCAGGAAAGTGACTAAGAAAAGAAGAAATATGTAGAAAAAGATGGAAGGCAAAAGCCAAAAGGCAAGAAGAACCATGAATAAACAAAATTAGAAGATGGAAAGAGCAGAATGATACCAATTAGGAAAATCCTGTGGTCCTTGGCCAGGTCCTTGGGAATGGTAGACAGTGTAGAAGAGCACAAACTCAAGGCATGCGAGTAAATTTACTTGTGAGCCCATATACTGTCAGCACTTGTATTTGGCAGTGGGCCCTGTGACAATAGGCTCCTCCTGCTCTGGTCATTGTTGCAGGTGGCCCATGCCTCCAGCCTATTTCCCAGCTCACTGTCCTCATTGCCACAACTCCCTGACAACCCACACAATATGATTTGTGCAAATCGTTGCTCAAGTAAAGTATATCCTGGCATAACACAAGTTACTTCTAAATGACAGGGTGCACACAATACACAGGCACATATCTGTATTCATAATGCTCTGTCCTTGTCCTGCCAAATATGGCAGTGATGATGCCATATTTCAGCTTATCCCTGCTCTCCCATTCTCACAATTCTAAAAGGAAGGAGGACAAATAGTTGTAGGAGCAGAGGACATAGACGCAGAGATAGAGAGCACCAGAGTGGAAGAGGGAGAGGTCCCTATAATTGAGAGCTGTTGAGGAACCTTCCTTTTATGGTTGGGTGTTGACTTTGTTGGTGACAGATACTGGTCCCTGACCAGGACCCAGACTGGGCTCCCTTCAGCCATCGTCATCACATCATATCCTCACAGTCACCTTGACCTGGCTAACACACTTTCAGGTTGCAAGGAACAGAGTCATGTCCAAATTCCTGGGATGATGGAGGTTTATGTTGTCAATATAATCAGGTTTGTTGATGTGGCACTGACGTTGTAAATCAGTCCAATTGGGAAGCTTGTTTTGGGGACTTTAAGGTAGGTCACTTATGAGCTATTAGAGCCCTGATTTCCTCACCTGGAAAATGGCATGTTGTGTGTATGTGTGTTTAAAATCAGGAATTAGGAGAGCTCAAAAAAAAAAAAAGATAAATGCAAAAGTGTTATGAAAATAAAGTGTTATGTTAATAAAAAGGGGGATGGTGATAATGATTGAGCATATATCTACTGAGGTCCCAGGTTTTAAGAACCATGTGGAAGTAATGAAGGTGGCAGGTATTCTTAGGTTCCAAAAGTTTACTTTCAAAGAAGAATTGAAAACAATTAAGGGTTAGAAATTATTTTATAATAAAAATTTCAGGAAAAAAGCCTTTATCTTCTACCCTAAAGTTTCAAGTGAAATTTGACCCAGCTATGCCAGCAATTTAAAAATCCTTGAAAAGTGACAAGTAGTATATGCAAAGGGATTTTTTAAAGACGTATTTTCTCCCTCTCCTTATAGATGCCTTGCTTTTTTTTTATTCAGTTTTGCATATTCATACAAAATGTGTTTACCTAGAAGTCTTATTTACTTAGATTATGATGTATTAAAAAGGGAAGAAAATTGATATTGTTGAGACTTTTGGAAATTGATAACATTTGATTTACATGAAATTTGATTTATAAACAATGAAGTTGGGGGGAGAGGGTTTTTTAAAAAAATGTATTCTATATTTTCCGATTTTAATATATATGATAGAAATTTGAAAAAAATGTAGGATAAAATTGTTTAATTTCCTTGTACTCAAAGATAATCACTCTTGATTTTTAAAAATTTCTTAATCTTTTTTTTTAAGAAAAACATTTTTTTAAGGAACAAACATCTAATCTTGCTGATGTTTATAAGTTTGAGTTTTTGTCCTGCTCTTTCATTATTACATTTATATCTGACAATGATTAAAAGCTTATGGTAGTTAAATAGACAGCCTTCGACTCAAATTCAGTCTCTGCACCTCACTAGCTGTGTGAATTCTGACAAATTGCTCAATTTCTTTAGCCGTAGAATAGAATTGATAGGGGCAGGTGAGGTGGCTCATGCCTGTAATTCTAGCACTCTGGGAAGCTGAGGCAGGAGTATCTCTGGAGCCTGGGAGTTTGAGGTTGTAGTGAGCTATGATGATGCCACTACACTCTAGCTAGGGGGACAGGGTGAGACTCTGTCTCAAAAAAAAAAGATTGATAGTAGTAATCTCATGAGGTAGCAATTTTGGAAGTAACGTACCTAAAGCTCTGGTCAGTAGTAAGTATACAATACATTTTACTGTTAAAAACTCTTAATTATATTTAACTATATTTAATATTCCATCAAGCGATAGCAGTAGTAAGGGTTATTAAATTATTTTTTCAACACTTACATTGTTTATATTAATAGTTTTTCACTATTCTAAATAGTGCATCCTTGCATATAAATTGCTCACCATTTAGTTCCTTTAGGAAAATTTTCTTAAAGAGGAATTTCGGGGTCAGAAAACATGAACAGTTTCTTTTTAATTATTTCTAAATTATTTTCTAATATAGTTGCTCAATTTGTATTTCCACCAGCAATGTTTTCTGACAAAACATTGAAAAAATTCATTTTCTTAGTTGAATTTTAAAAAGTGAAAATTTTATCTAATTGTTTGAATTTCTTTAATTTACTAGTGAAATTAGACATTTGCATATTTGTTTTTTTTTATTTTAGCTTATTATGGGGGTACAAGTGTTAAGGTTACATATATTGCCCATGTCCTCCTCTGCATATTTGTTTTATTTATTTATTTTTTTTTGCGACAGAGTCTCACTTTGTTGTCCAGGCTAGAGTGAGTGCTGTGGCGTCAGCCTAGCTCACAGCA